TCTTTTTTTCTTTTTTTGAGACAGGGTCTCTTTAAATTGCTTACACTGGCTTTGAACTTGCAAATCTCCTGCCTCAACCATCTGAGTACCAGGTACCTTCCTACTTTTTTTGTTGTTGCTGCTGTTTTTGCTTTTGGTGCCGAGGACTGAACCCAGGGCGTCCAGCTTGCTAGGCAAGCATTCTACCGCTGAGCCAAATCCCCAGCCCCGGGTGCATTCCTGAGGACAATACTTACTGTGGTGACCCTGCAGATCTGACCCTTGAACTCAGGGGAATAGCAGGCCCCACTGAGTGGACACTTCTCCACTGGCTTTCCACGGTAGATGGGCCGGTAAGATGCAGCACAAATGTCAAAAGGGTTGTGCATGTCATAATTGAGCTGACAGGCATCTGTGGGGTTCTTCTCACAGGCAGACAGGATCTTTCGAGTCTAGGGAAGGGAAGGGAAGGGAACTTTAGGACAGAAAGCAGCACAGAACAATTCAAATGATCTCATTAGGATGCAGCAGTCTGACATAAGATGCAATCACAGTACAACGTGAGGAGTAAACTGTCACTCCTGTCATACCATGATTTCTTTTGCTCAACAGCAAAGTGGTTTCATGTGTCTGGATCCAGAATTTTTCACAAAGTGTGGGGATTAGGAGGGTAAGACAAAAGATGAAAGGCTTCCAATGCTCAGTAAGAATGCTTTCGGAAGGGCACAAATAATGGAATATGTATACGAAGTAGTAACAAAATGGGATATCTGGAGTTCATGATGAATTATTTTTGCCAGCTGTTCCTCAGACAAAGGACTAATAGCTAGAATATATAAAGAACTCAAAAATTTCTCTAAGTTGAAGGACTACCCAAAAATGGGCATCTAAAATGAACAGACACTTCTCAGACACTTCTTCCTTCTCAGAGGAAGAAGTACAAAATGGCAAATATATGAAAAAATGTTCAACATCACTGGTCATCAGATGCCAATAGAATACCCATCTCTGACAGCACTGAACTGGAAAGGGGGGATACAGAGGAAGGACCATTTTGTATTTGTATATACAGAATAGTTAGGATAGATGTACAGCTGCTTTTGCTTGGTTCAGTGAGAGGAAGGATTTGTAGTAGTAGTGTTTGGACGGGATGTCCTGGCTGCTGCTTCTGCTGTGGATGACCGCTGAGAAGATAACAATGTGCAATGTATTAATTATTGAAAATGTCCTATTAATCAGCTTGGAAAGGGTCTCATTGATATTTGTTTCTCAATAAAATCAATGGTCATCTGAGAGATGCAAATCAGAACAATGCAGAGATTCCCCTTCACTCCAGAAAGAGTGGCTATCTTTAAGAAATCAGGCAGTACCAAATCGTGGTCATGCTGAGGGATAAAGGAACCTTTCTCCACTGTTGGCGGGAGTGTAGACTGGTTCAACCACTATGGACATCAATGTGGAGATTCTTCAAAAACTAAAACTAGAAGTTTCATATAACCCATCTGTTCCCCTTCTTAGTATCATCCGGAAAGAATTAAAGCATCATCCCACAGCAGGATAAGCACACCCAAGCATAGTTTGTAATAAGTCTTAGAAAGTCTAAACGCCATTAACTGATGAATGGATTAAAAAGATGTGTTTTATACAATGGAGTACTACTCAGCCATAAAAAAGGGTAAGTGCAAGACATTTCTGGCTAAATGAATCCACCTTGAGCCCATCCTCTTAGGTGGAATAAATCAGACACACATTTAAATATTGCATTGTTTCTCTGGTGTACAGACCAAAATGCATAACAGGGATATGGGAAGAAAATGTTCCAATGAGAAGGGGAACTAAGAGGAGGAGGGGGAAGGAAGGAACAATAATAACAAAAAGAAAAACAAGGGAAAAAATAGAACCAAAGCTTTCATAAATAAGGAGACAAAGAGGAGTTCGAGAGAGAGGAACAGAAAAAAAGCAGCAGCAAGATATATTACATATGGGTACAAATCTCCTATGATGAATGGTATCATGTGTACCTAAAATGTACCAATAAAAAAA